AAGAATGTAATTGATCCTGTACTTATTGAAGTCAATAGAAATGGTTTTAAAGATATAAGATATCAGGATCTCATTTTTATAGTGACTTTCATCTGAAGTTCTACAAGTGCTTTGCAAATGTTTAATATTAGTATTACTTTTATAGCAGAATAAATTGAGGTGGGGTGACTTTCACAAGATACTGTGGTGAGGAGGTCTTAAATCAGCAAAATAATATGTGGTTGTCTTGCGCAATTCATTTCATTACTGTGTTTATATAGCTTCGCACAGTGATGCACACAAAACAAACCATTTAGAATACAGTAGGGCTGTGAATTCTGTCCTAGACCCATGTAACCAGTGAATTATTTTCAATACAAAGATGCAGTGTGGTCAACCCTCTCCCTCCAATAACTTACAACTTTCAATTTCTAGTGTGCAGTTTTGTTCATCCAGAGGGTATCTGCGTAGATCCATCATGCAAGCAGCTGTAGTTGTGATCCTGTAAGATGGGGGGAAAAAAGATGGGATCATGAAACAAGTACTGGGCCTGGTAATTGTGACCAGATGTTTTACTGCTTGGAAGATCAGCTTTTCTTTACGCCTGCTAGCCACTTCAAAAGGCTCTTCAACAGGAGCAAAATCCAGCCTTATTTGCCACCTACAAATAGTGTATAATAGTGAATAATACACAGGACCCATGAGGGGGGCGGGGGCAGCTGCCCCAGGGCCTGGTGATTTAAAAGGGGTTCCCAGCCACTGCTAGTGCGGCTGCAGCAGTGGTCGGAGCCCTGAGCCCTCTAAATTCCTGCCAGAGCAGGGAGTGCTGAGGCTGGCTGGGGAACGCAACTCCCAGTCCCTTCTGCTCAAGGCCCAACCCTTTCTGGGGATCCCCCAGAGCCAAGCCCCTGCCCTTTGCCCAGGGCCCAGCTCTGATAATTCCGTTAAGAGAATCTATTGAACATTAAAATTCAATAGTGAAATTCCTGTTGAAAACTGCAGCTCAGTACGTTAGAGAACCACCACTGTTTTAGTGGAAATTCTACTCGAGAGTCTCATTTTCAGATTGGCAGTTAAGATCTCTTTAATCGTATTGTAAACTATGTGTGGAGTACTGCTTAAAATGAAAACTGTCTGATGCATCTTTACTTACCGTCACTGTGCATTTATATTTAACATTCATATAACAATTTTCGTCCATGCTTTATGCATTAGTGAAGGCAGAGTTTTAAATAGATGGTGAACTAGCATATGTTTTCATCAATCAATCGTGATAAATAGACTAGACCTTTCCAAAATGGAATTACACTATTTTTCATAAAATATATTGTATCATAAAGACATATTTTCCTCCGAACAACTATTTTCTGTGATAATAGCCACAATATGGACTACATGCTCTTTCTTACTAATTAAAGCAGTCCTAGAGAAGCTATTGTGGCATTAAAAATGAGACTGGGCATAATACTAATGATGCTACTGAAGGGAACAATCCTGTATATACAGGGTGGCTATGTCTACACTGGCATGATTTTACGAAAATGCTTTTAACGGAAAAGTTTTCCGTTAAAAGCATTTTCGGAAAAGCATGTCTAGATTGTCAGGATGCTTTTCCGCAAAAGCACTTTTTGCAGAAAAGCGTCTGTGGCCAATCTAGACGTGGTTTTCCGCAAAAAAGCCCTGATCACCATTTTCACGATCGGGGCTTTTTTGCAGAAAACAGTACTGTGCTGTTTACACTGGCCTCTTGCGCAAATGATTTGCGCAAGAGGGCTTTTGCCCGAATGGGAGCAGCACAGTATTTCCGCAAAAAAAACTGACGGTCTTACATGATATTGTCAGTGTTCTTGCGGAAATTCAAATGGCCAGTGTAGACAGCTGGCAAGTTTTTCTGCAAAATCAGATGATTTTGCAGAAAAACTTGCCAGTCTAGACACAGCCGGTGTGGTGGGGTGGACAAAGCCCGGCATCCCCACTGGAGGCCTTTCAGCACCCTGGCCAGCAACAGGAACAGTAGAGAGGTTCCCTGGGGCAGAGTAGAGTGGCAGCCTTTGCTGCAGCCAATCAGGGTGCAGCAGGCTGCTATAAATGGAACTGCTAGGTAAGGCCTGTCAGTTGCTTCCTGGAACTTGACCCAGGCAGACCTCAGGGCTGATGGGGGAACACCAGCACTCTGGACAACTCTGAGTGGGAGCTGGGCATCCTACCTCATGGGAGCCAGATCCTGTGGCTAAAAGCTAGCCCCCAAAAGCCAAAGACAACCCTGCAGAACCCCAGACAAGGGGGACTCAGCCACAAGACCCTAAAGAAGGGCCGATGGAACAGCATCCCTGGGAAGCAGCCCAGGGACATGACAGCATCTAAGTACGTTGAAACTCAGCAGGTAACTGCTACTTACAGGGTCCCTGGGCCAGGACCCAGAGTAATGGGTGGGCCTGGGTCTCCCACAACACCCTGAAAACCACACCTGGGGGGTAAAAGAAGAGGCCTGATCTCCAGCCACTGACTGGACATTGCCTTGCCCGCTAGCAGGTGAGTAAATACTGAGACGCCCCCCTCAGCCACCACAGGGCACTCGCACAAAGGGCAGAACCTGTTACACAGGCTGGCTACATCTAGACTGGCATGATTTTCTGCAAATGCTTTTAACAGAAAAGTTTTCCATTAAAAGCATTTGCAGAAAAGAGCGTCTAGATTGGCACGGACGCTTTTCCGCAAAAGCACTTTTTAGCAGAAAAGCGTCCGTGCCAATCTAGATGCACTTTTGCACAAAAAAGCCCTGATCGCCATTTTCGCAATTGGGGCTTTTTTGCGGAAAACAAATCTGAGCTGTCTACACTGGCCCTTTTGCGCAAAAGCTTTTGCGCAAAAGGACTTTTGCCCAAACAGGAGCAGCATAGTATTTCCGCAAGAAGCACTGATTTCTTACATGAGATCGTCAGTGTTCTTGCGGAAATTCAAGCGGCCAGTGTAGACAGCTGGCAAGTTTTTCCGCAAAAGCACTTGCTTTTGCGGAAAAACTTGCCAGTCTAGACACAGCCACTATGTATTGTATGAATAAGGAGGCTTTTATCATTTTTTCACTTTTCTGATTTGGTAGTTCAGAAAGGATGAATTCTTATCTCTGAACTGCAGAGAGATGTTTCTACCTACCAAACAGGAAATTGACACAGAACTGATACAAATAAATAGCAAAAGGCAGCAGTGAAATGAGGGACCCTAGAGAGCACTTGAGTTGTTGCTTTTTGTATTGACAAATATCTCTAGCAGGCAGTATGACAAGATGGAATAGTCTGTCTACCTTTTTTAAGCAAATAAAACATAATGTAGCATTTATTTTCCCCTAGGGTGTGTCATTTAGGTTGTAATTTACTGTAAGAGTATCTTTTTGGTGGTTTCATTCATGATTGTAGAGGAACCTCCTCCCTATATGGACTTTGGTTAGGACCCAGTTCTGTAGAGAACCTAAGAAGGTACTTAATTTTAACCATTCAAAGCTAATAGGAATATTGCCAATGGGCCACAGAATTAGGCACTTGGCTAAGATATAGGAAATTAGGGTTCAAATCTGAAACTTGCCCATGGATCCCGTGTATGATACCACATCTTGCAGACAGATAAGTTGGTGTATTTGGAGGAAAGGGTTGATGAGAAGTCCAAAGTACAGTAACTTGCTGTGCCACAAAAAATGGTCTTCTGCTTTCTATCCCCTTTTCCTCTTTCTTTCCTCCTTTCTGCTATAACAGCAGCACTGATTGCTAATGAGACAATCCTTGATGCAATACCAGGCAGTCATTTTCAAGTAATTAGTTGCATACTGAACACAATGTAAATGGGCTCATTATTATTCCTTTCTACTGAGGTCGAGTGATTCATGAACCACTTTGAGAATCTGAAAAACAGTTAGTGAATCAGAGGGAAAAGCAGGGCTGCTGACAGAATTGCTGAGCTTCTAGACAAGTTGAGGTAGCAGCTCTGTGCCCCCCCCCCCCAAGGGGTGGGGCTGGAGGCTGGCATCTCCCAGCCAGTCTTTCAGCAGTGCCTGACCAGTGCTGCCTGGGGCTCCAGGGGAGATTTAAAGGGTTCAGGGCTCTGGCTTTTGTCATGTGCCTCCGGCACTTTTAAAACACCTGGCTCTGCAGCAGCTGCCACTTTTGCTGCCTCCCAGCCCTATTGGCAGCACTGGCAAAAAAAGGGGGAAAATGTCAAGATCATGGACAGTCCTGGCTGAGTTCACCCCTTGTGACTGCTCACCAGGTAGTGTGTTTGGACCCTCATGCTTGCTCTGTGTGTTTCTACACTACCCTGGTTCTGGGCAGGCTCCAGTCAACGGCTCTGATCTCTGACATATGTTCTGTACAGAAAACTTGTCTGGTGTCAGTTCTAAGGACTGGGGCCCCAGGCCGGTGCTGACCCCCCCAGTAAACCCTGGTTTATTGTTTAACCCTTCAGGGAACATGGTGGCTAAAGGCAAGACACACACTTTGCAGAAGGATTTGTAAATTAACAATTCATTACTCACAGAAAAAGCACAGGAGATAACTAGATCAAGGGGAAAAAAGAAATGCCGATATGCAGTTCCCTCCCTCAGAATCCTCATAATTTTTGAGCATTTTGGGGTTATTTTGTCAGTGCCCTCAGTGGTCCCATGTCCTTTCTTCTGGATCTCACCCTTCTGGCCCACTCTTCGTTTCCTGATCATGATGCTCCCTCTGATTCCTACAACAAGTTTTCTTCAACTTGTGTGGATTCAGCAGTCAAAAGATTTTCCAGCTTAGAGAGATGTCCCTTTGTGTTTTCTGAGGCTATGTCTACACTGCAGTTATTTTTCGGAAAAAGGTACGCGAATTGTCAACCACAATTTGTGTATCTTTTTCCGATTCTTTTTTCAAAAGAGGCTTTTTCCGACATTTGGCCTGACTATACAGGACCAAATGTGGGAAAAACCTCCTCTTTCAGAAAACCCCTTATTCCTCATAAAATGAGGAATACAGGGATTCTGAAAAAGCGTTCTTGCTTTTTTTGGAAACTGATCCAAAAAAGCAGACGTATTCCCTGGACACAGCAGAGTTTTTTCCGGGATATCTCTGGTATCCCGGAAAAACTCTGTTGTGTAGACATAGACTGAATCTCCTAGGAATCAATTCTCAGGGCTTTTATACACATGGACTTGTTTCTGATTAACTCCAAGTTGGATTCTTTTATTCCACAATAAGCCTTTCTACCTGTGTAGTTTAATAAACTTTTAAAATGATTTTTTTTAAATAATTTTCCACTGCTTCAGCCTCTGGTAGGCAATCTGGGTAGAACTTGTATTTTTATAGGCTGCAGCGGTACCATTTATTAGAAGTGCTCCCATTTGAATGGAAGGTTAATGACTTTCAATTGTTCCTAATCTGGCACATATGCAGTACTAGCCCTGGCATAAAATGGCAGTCACTAGTACACAATTTCTGTATCCTTTTCATCCATTTTTCATATTTCATCCTTATGGTTGTCTAATTGAAATAGTAGGACAGAGTATATATTCTGAACTTTGTCGGTTTTAGTTTATTTTCCTCACAAGGAACAAGAGTACATGTCTGGTATTAGACATTTAAAATTCCTTAATTACCAATTGAGTAAACATTAGGGAGCAAAATAAAAAGGCTATTAGGCACAAGTTATACTGTCAACTCAAACTGGAACCAACACTTAAGTATGGCAAAGACATGTTCTAAGAAACCTAAGACCAATATAAATATAGCTATGATTTTCTCTTGACTCCAAAGGAAACAGTTGCTAGCATAACAGACAAATATGAATCCTCATAAGTAGTTAATATCTGGGAACTGCTGTGTAGTGTTTGTGATGACTTGTGAAAAATGTAGTTTAAGACTGATGCTGCTCCTGTTGACTTCAGTGGAAGCAGGATTATTTACTAGATATGAGATTCTGCACACAACACTTCTTAGGAGGTTGTATGTTAACAGTAGAACTAGACTTGGAGTCTGGTGATCTAGGTTTCATTGCCAGCTGTGTCAGTGACCTGCTTCAGGACGCTGGTCAAGTGACTTTATCTCTGTATACCTGTTTCCTCTTCTGTTCCCTTGCAATCTTGTCTGTGGTGTCTATTTAGCTCTTCAGGGAAGGGACCGTCTCATATGCATTTGTACAATGCTTAGCACACTGGGATCTCAGCTGAAGACTCTGAGGTGATACATGCAGAGAAATTCTGCATTGTGATACAGTTTTAATTGATTTTTTTCTATAGAATTTCCCAAGTTTTCTCTGGAGAGATTGTTCTGCTTAAGAGACTGTATTAGAATTATGTAATTTTTTTGTATTTCTCAGACAAAAGAAAAGGACAAGCTGCAAGAATTTTGTAGGCTGGAAGATTATCCCTAAAAATCTCATTGAACAGGCCTCTCTTATGACAATACTGAACTGTGGCAAGGCTCCGTGAACACTTACACATGTGACTAGTCCTGTTATCTTCAATGGAACTATTCATGTGTATAAGAGTTGGATTGATTTCCCCTTCCACCTTTTGTCTGCTGTTTCTATTTAGATGGCAAGCTCTGGGACTCTTTTACTATGGGTATGTCTATGCTGCAATTAAGAAGCCACAGCTGGCCTTTGCCAGCTGGCTTGGGCTGCAGGGGTGTTTAATTGCAGTGTAGACTACCGGGGTTAAAATAAACACAGAAGCAATAACATGAAGTGTAGCTGTTGCTTAATACTTGGTCACAGCATTTCACCACAAGAGCATTGCCAAAAAACTATTGTATATTCTTCAGAGCTCTTTACAGAGGAAAACAAAGCTATATTTAACATAGCAAGAAAGATTGCATATGGGGAGGACTCAGAGTTAAATGATACAAATCCTGTCATGAAAAGTCTTGTCCCACTTGGAGAAGCAGCAATAAAACTTTAACGTGTTCTTGCATCCTTTTTCAACCAGTATATAGTGCAAATTATAAACGCGTACAAGGGTATGAACTGGGGAAGACTTGTGGTTTTGTTTTTTAAAATCTCTTGCACACATTGTGAAAATTCAGCCTGAACTGTTTGTG